ACCAAAGTCATCCATGTTGTCTTTCATGGCCAATTTTTTTTTTTTTGTCTATAGTTTTTATCAGTCCATTATGTAGGAATGTGGCTTTCGTAATGGATCCCATCGTCATAAAAGCACAGTGATTTTCGAACGCTCATATCTCATGCATCTTCACTCTACCTTTTTTAAAATTTCGTTGTGTGACNTATGTCTATAGTTTTTATCAGTCCATTATGTAGGAATGTGGCTTTCGTAATGGATCCCATCGTCATAAAAGCAAAGTGATTTTCTAACGCTCATATCTCATGCATCTTCACTCTACCTTTTTTAAAATTTCGTTGTGTGACNTCACTGACACATCTAGGTTGCCCGTGATGATGATCTAGCAGAACAGATTGGGAAAGATGTATATTTTGATCTTGTTGATCATGACAAAGTTCGCAGTTTCCGAATTCAGAAACAGATGCCTTTTAACCTTTTCAAGGTACTGCTTGCTTGTCAATTTTTTATCTGTTCATTTTTGTTGAACTTATGCTATACAACAGCTTCCCTTTTAGTTTGGTAGGTGCATATGTTTCTATTTTTTTTTTTTTGAATTTATTCTCTTTCCCTTTAGTGATTGGGATACAAACCCAAGTGTACACCGCCATGAGGCCCATGAGAGCTCTTGGGGGTAAACATTGAATGTTAACCTTGGGCTTTTCTTATTATTATTTTTTTTTTCCAATTTCTTTGCTTTTGATTTTAAAGACGAGTTTGCTAGATAGATGTGAAACGCATTAATGACAAGTTCTAGATCCAGCAAGGGTCATTTGACTGCATTCTAGATCCAGCAGAAGTTCATCATAATTTTTAAAATTGCTTTGTTTTTTAATAACCTAACATTTCATTTTTCATACCCTTTTTAAATGGAATAAAAGTCCGGAACTGCCCAATAAAGGCCCCATCTTGCATTTCAGAAGCACCTATGGTTCTTACAAGTTACTTCCTGTGTATCTGCAACTGCAAGCATTTTGTTTTCTGTGTCTATGAACATGATCTGATATTTTACAGGTGGAAAGAATTTCCTCATCAGTGGAACATTCATAAGTGATCTGGAGACTTGTCGTATCATAGTCTAGCCCATTATAGCAGTTTTTTTGAGACTTTAGAAGGTGTGGGGATCAAGATAGATGGAACACAAATTGATGTTGGTTGAGGTTCATCGAGTCAAACTAAGTTATTGCTGATGTAAATTTGTCAAAGGTTCAAATGGTTTAATGCATTTCACATACTTAAAAAGTTAGCAAACATGGGTGTGTTGTCTCCGGTGATAATAGACATTTCTACTTACCTTTGCCAACGCTATTCTGCTCTTGTGCTGTGAAATCATATTCAGTTGCCTATTACTTTTTGTTTTCTTTCCAAACTTTTTTCAACTCATTTTTAGCAAGTCTTGAGTCTTGACCCTTGTACTTGGTGTCTGCATGGATTCTTCTTTTCTATATGACCCATTCCAACCTATCATTATACAATTTTTTTTCAGAGCCTTAATCCTCCTCTTCTAAAAGTATTCCTCTTTTCCTTTTGCAACCTTCAACTTGGATAAATCCGCTCCTCCATACAGCCAAATTTCCTTTTTTTACTGATTATTTCTTGAACCCATTCCAGTTTTAACTTCCTCTCCCTGTAACACCACTCATCCTCAGTTTTTTTTTGGTAACCACTCAATTTGTTGTATTATGGATGATAGGTGGAGTCTTGTGGATCATCCCTTTAGTTTGGTGGGTATTCATTCTACCATCATGAAGGCTCCAGAAGTTCCTATATTTGTCATTCTTTAATTATATGGGTAACATTTTCCTTAACTGCGATTACTTTTTTTTTTTTTTTTGTTGATATAAGTGTCCTTATTGATAATTGATCCAAGACAATGAAAAATGGTCGCATTTAGGCATCTTTTGATGATCAAGTCTCAGCATACCTTAGTTTTACTCAAAACCTTGAGAGTCCAGGGTATCCTTTTGTAGTGCTAACCTATGAATTGATTTCTGTAGTGTGTTCATCTACTGAAATTTTGTTGAGCAAACAAATCTTCCACCGGATGTCTTCTTAAATTATCCTTGTAATTACGAACTCAATGCAGATCATTGATGTGAGCCCCTTTTGTTCACACAAGTTCTTTTGTCCGCCTCTCATTTTTCTTGCATAAGTTACAGATCCATCATAGATATCCTAAGTTATGTAATCTCAGATGGTAACCCCCTGGCAGGCCTGCTGGAAGAAAATGGGAGAAAGACCAAAGTCATCCATGTTGTCTTTCATGGCCAATTTTTTTTTTTTATGTCTATAGTTTTTATCAGTCCATTATGTAGGAATGTGGCTTTCGTAATGGATCCCATCGTCATAAAAGCAAAGTGATTTTCTAACGCTCATATCTCATGCATCTTCACTCTACCTTTTTTAAAATTTCGTTGTGTGACTTAAGAATTTTAGTACAACATTTATGCATACTGTAGTGCTTTTCCTCCATTAATCAGGCATCTTTATTAGTCCAGAAAAGCATTTTGTTATCGCTTATACAGTTTTAAGCTTCAATGGAGTCGGGACATCTTCATTTGAGTTTCTATTTCTTTCGTTAATCATTTTAATTACAAAAGGCACTAATTTTCATTAAATTCCCTTCATCTGGGTTTAGGATGCCTGTTCTTTGTTCTTTGCTCTAATCTTCTGATACATACAAATTGCCCGTCATCTTTGTTTTGCTGTTAGGGTCGTTTGTTAAATTTTTGTCCTCCTACAAAGAGGACACTATTCTAAACTACCTTCATTAATTGCAAGACATGGTCATAATGATATTTTATTCTGCATTTGGCAAATTTCTAAGCAGTTTCAATGAGGCGAATGTGAGATTATTCTGCTGGTCTAATTTGGTGCAGCCATGATTTCTAAAATTCTTGAGACGTGTTACCATCGTTTTGGATTTGAAGAAAAAAGGTGTTTTTGTTTAGAGTTGTGTTTATGTGACATTATTGAAAGTGTCATTGTCATTAGATTTCTTGTTTGGTTTGCGCTTCAAAAAAACAGTATCCGAAAACTGTTTTGGCATTTTTTGTGTCGCTGATCTTGTTTGGTTATATGATTTAAAAAACTATTCTACGAAATAGAAGACAGTAAAACTTGTTTGGACAATAAGCTAGAAAATAATGACAACAAACCGGTGGTGGTGGTGGGAGTATGGTGGTGGTGTTTTTTAAATTTTGGAAATGTTGTTTCAAAAAACACACAAAATAGCCTTAATTTGTTCTCTAAACCCACTTTTTGTTCATAGATTTCAAAAAACAAAAACAAAAATATCTGGTCAACTTTTTTTCTCATAAACTATTTCCGAAAGCAGAAAAATAGTTTCTGTGATGCAAACCAAACGGAGCCAGTGTTGCTGTGTTTTTAGCCTAGTTTCTGTTTTAGGTTTAGTTGATAAGTGTTGCAGACTGACTTAGCATTCTATGTTTGGTGTTATGGTTAATGTACTTCTCAATTTGATTTTCAAATTGCTTGTGAGTTTCTTGACTCCTATTGTTGACGTTAGCAGGAGGAGGTTGCCAAAGAATTTGGTATACCAGTTCAGTGTCAGCGTTTTTGGATATGGGCAAAGAGGCAAAACCATACATATCGTCCCAACCGGCCATTGACACCGCAGGAAGAGACACAAAATGTAATTATATTTGCTTTTGCATATTCTTCTGCACTAATTTTTGCTCTCTAAGTTATGATGGCTTCTGCTTGGGCTACATCTTGATATCTTCTATTATTTAATTGAAAAAGCTGCCTTCTCCACTAATGACAGCTCAGTAAGTATGTAGTCCAGAAGAGGCTAGTAGCATCCTGCCTGATGTCTGTTGGTTTATGAATGACTGTAAGCTTTGTATAGTTTTTTTATTCATGTTTATGTTTATTGAAGGCATGGTTTTGTGATAGTTTATTATTCATGTCAAGTTATGGGATAGTGTGCTAGAATGGGAAAGAGACTTGATGTAGGAGAGTGGATTAAACACTTGCAAACTATGGGTGACTTTATTAGGCCCAAAGACTGTTTTACCACTCAAATAGGAAAGTTCTCTAACTCATTAGAAGAGATTAAGTTGGAGAGAAAAAAGATTTGTTGCTGAATATAAGTACTTGTTACATGTGCTTAACTTTTTGGAAAAGATTTTCCATCTTGCGAACTTCATCTTCTTTCTGTGTGCACGCTATACTTGTTTCTCTTTGCTCAATGAGTGGGACCTTTGGTCAGTGCTTTAGAAACATAATCAAGGGTAATGCTTGCATTTTTTTCCTTTTGCGACTTATCTGGGAATTTCGTCATGTATAGACGCCTTTTGTGATAGTACCTTGCCAACTCCGTTAAAAGTTTTTCACTACATTTTTCATTACTTTTTGTGTTTCAGTTTTTGTCTGCTATTTTTCTTTGGCTTTGGTGATATGTTCTGCTGAAACTTCACTTGAGCTCTTACACTGGGGAATAATGCCTTTAGAGTGTTGAAGCATGCATTGCTGTATCTAATGATAATTATTTTTAAATGCAGGTTGGGCAGTTGAGGGAGGTTTCTAATAAAACCCACAATGCAGAGTTGAAGTTGTTCTTGGACGTTGAGATGGGGCTGGTATGTAAAATACCTATTTTGATTTGTCCTTACAATGTTTTAATTGATGCTGATTCAATTTCACAATATCAGAGGCTTTCTCTATTTACCCTGTATTTTTACTGATACTTCATGAAATATATTAGGATCTTCATCCTATTCCTCCACCTGACAAAACTAAAGAATCTATTCTTCTTTTCTTCAAACTTTACAATCCTGAGAAAGAAGAGCTTCGGTAATTAGTAATGTTTTATTTTTTTGAGAAAAAAATTTGCTAAATCTTTTCTCTTCATCACAGCTGTTTGACATTTTGATTTGCTTTATTTTCCCAGATTTGTTGGTAGGCTTTTTGTGAAGAGTTCTGGTAAGCCGATTGAATATCTAACAAAACTAAATGAAATGGCTGGATTTGCTCCTGATGAAGAAATCGAGCTTTATGAGGTTTGTTTTCGCATGGAATTATGATGTGAACTATGTGATCATTATTCTATGTAGTCAATGTTCTCGGTTTATTTTTCCTCATATTTATTCACTGAAGTACTTAAATGCATCGTTTGTTCAGGAAATTAAATTTGAACCTGGTGTCATGTGTGAACGGCTTGACAAGAGGACTACATTCCGGTTTAGCCAGGTACATGTTGATTTTTGTTAAGTTGGTGGGGATTCAATTTGGTACTAAGAATTCTCATTTCTTTGTTTGCAGATTGAAGATGGGGACATCATTTGCTTCCAGAAACTCCCTCCAATAGACAGGGAAGAACAATGGCGACATCCTGATGTTCCTTCATTTTTGGAATATGTGAAAAATCGCCAGGTCCAATCTGCTCAAATTTGTCTTATGAGATTTAGGAATGATAATTTTTTGTAGTGGTTTCTAGTATACGGATCTTGATTGTGTTGTTTCCCGAGAATGGTTTATCTCTTCTGCTGCTTACATTTTCCCTATAATGATACTAAACTTCCTTCGAACACCACCTGCAGAATTTTTTTTCCCTGAAATGAATTTTAGGTAGAGAAAACCAGTTGAAGTTGTCCTTATTGATGTGTAGGATTTTTTTCATTCCTTAGGTTTGGAAATCTCTTGCATTGCAGTAAATAGATGGTGCCGTCCTTCCTCAAACATGAAATGAGATAAATTGTCCATATTTCACTAGGCCTTTTGTTCCCTGTCAACTTATCAGAACCAGTGGATGTCGGTAATTTAATTAGAAAATTAAAGGTAAATATGGAAAGGCCAAGTTGAAAGACCACCTGAAATCGCAGAAGATGGAAGATTATAATGTCAGTGGTCATGGTGGTGCATTGAATGACTAGAATGTTTACTTTTTTCCTTTTTCCTTCTCCTTTGAGCGTGTGTTTTTTTTTTTTTTTTTTTTTTAACTTTGTTTCCGATTGGTGGGTTTTTTTTGGGGGGAGATGGGGGATGAGAGAGGTTATGTCAAGTGTATTTTTTTAGTCAGCAACAAAAAACTCTCATTAATATTTATATGAGGGGACAAGAAGTTCAAAAAGACTAAGAAATTGAACGGCTAGACTTGGTCAGAGAAAAGAATCATTGTCGTTAGTTATGGCAAGTGTATTTTTTTGGTCAGCAACAAAAAACTCTCATTAATATTTATATGAGAGGCTGTCAACGAAAAAGTCTAAGAAATTGAACGGCTAGACTTGGTCAAAAAAGAATCATTGCCGTGACTTTGAAAGACTATGTGCGTAGGCTTTTACTTAATTCTTACCAAATTTAACTTGCTTCATATGATATGATTATTTGCAGGTTGTTCATTTCCGACCTCTGGAAAGACCAAAGGAGGAGGATTTTTGTCTAGAGCTGTGAGTATTTTCTGATGATACCATTGTTGTATACAGAGATTGTTCTGATGCTGCTCTTAGACATTTAAGTCATTAACTATTTCAATGTTGAATGTCTAGGTCAAAGTTGCATACTTATGATGATGTTGTGGAAAAAGTGGCACAACGACTTGGTTTGGATGATCCATCCAAAATCAGGCTTACTGCGCACAACTGCTATTCTCAGCAACCTAAGCCGAGCCCCATCAAGTATCGATCAGTGGACAATTTGTTAGAGATGCTGGTCCACTACAATCAGGTAGCTTGGGATGAACTATGATCAATAGGAGTTGTTTGTTGGGGGAGGGTTGGAAGGAATTAAGAAGCAAACCATTATGTTCTCATTATAGCTTACCAGTTAATTTGCTTTCTTTTTTCTCTTTTGTCAGATTTCGGATATTCTGTATTATGAAGTGCTGGACATCCCTTTGCCGGAGTTGCAATGTCTGAAAACGCTGAAAGTTGCTTTTCATCATGCAACAAAGGATGAGGTGTGGCCAAAACTAGAGTCTTATCGCATCTCCCCACCTACAAGGTCCTGTTTTTTAGTTTTTACTTTTTAGGGTCTTCTAATCTTGTGCACTTTTTTTTTCCAGGCAATAATCCACAATATCAGATTGCCTAAACAGAGCACTGTTGGAGATGTTCTTAATGAATTAAAAACAAAGGTAATTTTGGTATCATTAAGAACTCATATTCTACAGTGTCAAATTAAAGAAAACTGAAATTACATATGCAATTCTTTAATTCCTGAATTTTTCCCCTGTTTCTTGCACTGAGAATTATATCTTTGACAGAAACTATGTTTGATCATGCATGATGGCAACCAAATTAATCTCGATTGGTTCCCTATGCCCTCCCCCAATCTAAAGAAAGTAAAGGAANTCCTTGCACTGAGAATTATATCTTTGACAGAAACTATGTTTGATCATGCATGATGGCAACCAAAATTAATCTCGATTGGTTCCCTATGCCCTCCCCCAATCTAAAGAAAGTAAAGGAAAAAGGAGGTGTGGGTGGGGGTACTCTTGTTGAGCATGAAAAGAAATTTACGGGTCTTATCGCTGTTGTCACTTAAAGTGACTTTTCCTGGATCTGTCCGTTAAGAAAATTATTTTCAAACAGAGAAAGAGAAAAGGTCTTAGGTTGATTGAATGCAAATAGATTTTAAAGATTTTGGGAGCTAAATTTCACTTTTGCTTTGTGATTCTTGTACATAACACTATCCTTGGTGTATTAAATGTTTTACTTTCACCTTGGATCCAATGTATTCATGTGTCCCGTATCCTGAAACAGGTTGAGTTGTCTCATCCAGATGCTGAACTTAGACTGCTAGAAGTTTTTTATCACAAGATTTATAAGGTAATGAGCCAGTGGTTGAGTTCAACTATTTTGAGCATTGGTTAACATTTTTGTCAAAGATTTTGCAATAGAAGATAAATACCGTGGTTTGGCCCTTGTTAACTTTTGCACTTAGGCTGTTCGAAGGGTGCTTGCTGCATGTTTTCCATGTGAGTGCTATGTGGCTCATGTCGAGTTTTCTTTGCCTTTCGTTCAGATGACACGCCAGTGCAAGTTGTCAAACTCCAACAAATACCCTAACGTGTTGTGGTCTTTGGACCCTTATGTGATATATGCTTTAGCCTTTGTTATGCAATTCACTTCTGCTATTGTTCTTTGCAGATTTTTCCACTTGGTGAAAAAATTGAGAATATCAACGATCAATATTGGACATTAAGGGCAGAGGAGGCGAGTTTCTTTTCTTACTTATTGTTGGTTTTTCTTCCTTTCAGTACACTGTTGAATGTGGAATTTTAAGTTTATTGGTGTCCACTCCTAAAATGTCTACACTACGCCAACTTTATTCTTTCTTAATCACTGATAATTTCCACTCTAACTGCACTTAACTGTACTTAACCACTCAAAACTTCCAAGCGGATTAGTAGCTATAAACGCAGTGATAGTAAGTGAAGTAATATGTGTAAATAGTATAAGATGCTTTCTTTTAAGCAATACATTTAGCAGTTTGAAACTAGAAGTTGTACAAAATTAAGTGATGTTTACTTCCAATGTGGGATGTGTATTTTGGAGATGTCATTTTTCATAGAAAATTTGTAATGTGTTATATTAGAGTTGTGTCATTGTGATTTCATGCTATCTTCAGTAATTAGATAAAGATATCTTTTGAGAGGTTATATACCCTTTTTAATTTCAAAATCGGGATTGTTGTACTGATTTCTTTCATGATGTCGGCTGTGCAAGCATATACAGGTTTAGAGAATGGGATGTTATTACAATTTACAACATTTGGAGACATGTATGTGATGCCCGTTATCAGCACGTACAGATTAATATTACTTTGTTTTCCTTATTTCAGATTCCAGAAGAAGAGAAGAACCTTGGTCCCCATGATCGATTAATTCATGTTTATCATTTCACAAAAGAGACTGCACAGAACCAAATGGTATTCTAACATGGATGGAAAGTCTATCGTCTATTTTTAAGAAAAGTTTCAGGCCCTTGGTTGCAATGGTACTAGTTTTTAAAATGTTTCCTTTGACAGCAAGTCCACAATTTTGGGGAACCCTTCTTCTTGGTCATTCATGAAGGAGAAACTTTGGTGGAAATTAAGGCACGTGTTCAAAAGAAATTGCAGGTTCCTGACGAAGAGTTCTCCAAGGTATTTTCTATCTTGTTTTCACCTCTTGCATTGTGAGGAATCTCAGAAAAAACATTTACATTGCAATTTTACTAAGCCGTCACTGTTAGATCTAAAGTGTTGACTTTGGACCCTAATCTATTCCTCTTCATTCTGAACTTTATTTTTTGTGTTTAGTGGAAGTTTGCATTCTTGTCATTGGGACGTCCAGAGTATCTGCAGGACTCTGACTTAGTGTCCAGTCGCTTTCAGGTGCATGTCATTTATAATTGTCCCCCGTTTTTTTTTTAATCTCTATTTCTTCTTTTTTATCATTTGTCAATTATTTTCTATTTTTTATTTTTTTGCAAACATCTCTTAAAACTTGTGAGTTGTGATTTCCCTTGTTACTTTTTGTTTATGCACTCCTTGAACTGAGTTTGACTATATTCCTTCAGAGAAGAGATGTTTATGGTGCTTGGGAGCAGTACCTTGGGTTGGAGCACTCTGATACCACTCCTAAAAGGGCATACACAGCAAATCAGGTGAAGTTTAGTCGCACCTGCTTTCTTGTATACATGACGCGAAACCTTGAAAACAACCACATTGGGTAGTTAATGCCACAAGCTTAGCTATGGTGAAAGTAATCCAAGCATAGTGTTGGCATGTATTGATGCGTAATGTATGTCTGGGCTGTGATTATTCTTCACCAAACTCTGCGGCAACTGTTTTGTTTAATTCATGAAGTCTATAAACTCGATTTTTGCTGAGAGATGGATTATAATTTGGGCAATGTCTGATCTCTATTGATATCTTTGATCAATTTGCAGAACCGTCACACATTTGAGAGGCCAGTTAAAATATACAACTAGCTGAACTGCGGCCAGGGCAATAGCTCAATACCACATCCCTTCGAAGCCACAAAAGCAGTGTGAAAGAGGTTAACTTATGATGGTCTACATTTATTGTTTATGAATTTGGTTGGTGGTTTTGTAGGCTATGATTCTTTTTTGACTTGGGTGGGGGAAGGGAGTTTATCTCCCACATGTATCCTGATTTTTACTGTTGATACGAGCCCGCTTGAGCTTTCCCCCTCTACTCTTCTTGCTTTCCTCTCAAGGCATTCCCTTTGCTTTGAGAGAGGCTGGTTCGTGTAATTTAGCGTATATAAGAAGATTTTGGTTCAAGGGAGTATGTAAACTGGGTATAGTTGGGTTCTGTTTTTCACATCCATTTTTTTTTTCCTTGCCCTTCTCTCTTTACCGTCGCCCCATTTTGTCATGCAATAGGTTGTACAGGGGATGGGTTTGTAAACAGTAGTGCTCAGCAGTCCAGTTCTTGTTATAGTGCCTGTCTGGTTTGATTTATACGTGGTGAAAAGGTAAA